GGGTGCCCTGTGACAGGGGCGTGTGGGCTCAGGACAAAGAGAAGGGAGTCAGGCCCTCACAGGGGGTGTTATATCCTTAATACTGGAGTACCCCGTGCAGGTGCGGGTTGTACATTCTTCATCTCATCTGATGCTCCTGATAGTCCCCCTTCACAGGCAAAGGAACCAAGGCCTACATCGAAGTCACAGAGCAAGTCGGTGCCAGAGCAGGGACTTGGACTAAAGGCTGGCCTCCGAATCCTGTGCTCTTTCCTTTTGTAAACCACACAGACCGACAGGGGCACATGTCCATTGAATGAAAAAATGAGCTTATGAATGAATAGAAATTAACTCAGAAAGGACACGAACAGATTTTTCAACAACAGGTGCATCAATATGCACTAAGAGGAGCTGGGACAGACATAACGTTTAAGGTTGAGGTCAAGGAGGACAGACAGTGGGTGGTCCTTGGTGTGACCCAGTGACCCAGTGACCCAGTAGGGCCACTCCCCCGCACCTATGTGTGTTTGCTGGAGTAGGCACAGGTATGAAGGGGAGAGAAAATAGAAAATAAGCAACACTGTGTGAGTTATAGATGTACTGGGAAGCCTTGAAGCTACCTAGACAAGTCCTCTCATTGTACAGATGAGGAAACTGAGGCCCAGAATGGGAAAAAGACCTGCCCAGGCCACACAGGAAGTAAATAGTAAAGTTAAGCCTCAAAAGTTGACGTTTGGACTTTGGGTCAAATGTGAGACAGGGAGACTGATGGAGAAGTGCATGTGAGGGCAAGGGGTCATGGTCCTCTTCTCAGGAGTACCACCCCCAAGAGGGGATTTATGCCTTCCCTACCCAGGCAAAGGGGGAGGGGCCTGGGACTGGAGCCATGGCCAGTGTTGGTGGAGATGGCAGGCCTCCAGCCCCGCTTTTGCCAGTGTCCTCAGGCAGGGCGGCATACCTGGCCATCCACAATGCCTGCCTCCTCCAGGGTAATCTTTGGATGGATCAGTGGCTCCCAGCCCTCGCGGCTGCATGTCTTCCAGAGGCGGGACTCCTGCTGTACTACCAGAAGCTTCTTTAACCCTGACTGCATGAAACCTGAGAGATGGGCAAGGGAGAGGCAGGAATAGAGTGGAGCAAACTGCTGGAGGTCACAGGAGGAGGAGGCGGCTCTGGCTTTCCAGACCTCATCCTGGCTGGCCCTGCGCAGTCTCCGGTCACCCCAGCCACAGTGCTTTCTTCATCTATTACCTGAAGCCAGGGAGACACCACCTCCCCACTGCCCTACTTTCCCTAATAATCTCACTCTCCCTGGGCTCCCTACTGAAAGCATGAGAGTGTGAGTCTCATTACCTCCTGGGGAGAACGTGCAAGGGGCAGTTATCTGTGCGCCCTCCGGCCACCAACTCAAAATCATGGATCTAGAACCATCCAAATGGCCTGGGTTCAAGCCTCAGCTCTGCCACTTTACTTGCTAGCTGTATGATCTTGGGCAAGTTACTTAACCTCTCTGTGCCTAGTTTCCTCACTGTGGAGAGTAAATAGGACCTACTTCAGAATCGTAATAACATTATTTTGTGAAACGTGCTTAGAAGAGGATATGGCCCATAGAAATGACTGTGAATGTCAACAGTGATTTTATATTATCACCATCACCCCCTAACCCCTCTCCTTATCTGCCCTCGGGGACACCCTCTGGTCACAGCAGTACCTATATGATGGGAAAACCAGAGATGGAGGTGGCCACTGAAAAAGAATTGCAGGCTGGGGAAGGGTGATTCTCGAGGGGCCACAGCCCCAGTCACACCCTTCACCTTGCTGTCTCCCAAACCCTGAGGGAAGAGGACCCTAGGAAGAGTCAGCAAGGCCTTCATCCCAGTCACACAATAGCACCCATCTCAGGAGGCCATCTTGTGTCCTATGGTACCACCTGGTGGTGAGAACTGGTATCACACCCAGTTCAGAACAGATACCAGAATGGGACTCCCTCGGACTGGGGCATGTTGGGAGGGGAGGTGGGGGCACTGCACTTACCCACGGTATCTGTTGACCTAAATGTCTTGTGCAACGGCGACTAGAGGGTGACGGTGCCTGGGACACAGAGCTTGAATGAGCTGTCCTCTTCCTCCATTCCCTCTTCCTCACCTTCTTCCTTGTGGGGTAAGCCTTCCTTGATAGGATCCTGAGCGTGTGTCAGGTCACTGAGCAGGTGAGAAAGGCCCCAGCCTGCAGCCCCACCCTTACATAAAACAGAAAGCTGGGGGGAACAGCTCCCAAGAGGTTAAGGAAAGGGACTACTCCTACCACATACCCCAGCCAGATGTGCAGAGGGGCTTGCCCAGACCTGCCCTGCTGCTACCCCAGCTTGGCCCCCACAGACCTTGGCCATGGCCAGTTTCTGAAACTGCTTGTACAAGGTGAGGAGATGGTTCTAGGGAGTTACTGCCCCCCGCCTCGCCGCTTCAAAGAGGCCAGCGTGAGGTCTCTGTGAAGGGCAGGGTCGCCAACCATCTGATAGCAATGGGGGACATCTGGAGGGTTGAGCTGAGGGTAAGGTTTCCTGGTTTTCTTTAGCAAACACCTACTATGTGCCAGGCACAGTTCTGGGCACTTTACAAAGGATGTTTCATTTAATCCTTGCTACTATCTTCTGAGATAGGTACTATTGCATTCTCGTTTTATATATGAGAAAACTGAACCACAGAAAGGTTGAGCGATTTGCCACCATCACACAGCTTGGCACAGTGGAGTCGGGATTGGACCCCAGGCAGCCTGCCTCCAGCATTCCCTTAGACTGTGTCCTTCCAGGCCCCCCACCCCTGCAGAGCCCTAGTGGAAGAAGGTCTGTCTGGCCCTACCCCACATCCGTGGCCACCACATTCACCATCCAGCAGACACTCCTCCTCCTCCTCCTTGGTGAAGGCCTTGGGGCTGACCTCCAGAGGTCCTGTGGCCCTCTGCTTCACCTCCAGGGCTTGGGCCAGGCAGCCCCTGATCCAAAAGTATAGTCGGGTGGGAGTGGCAGGTGGGGCCTGACATCCCTCACACCCCCCACGGCTCTCCCACAGGTCCTGCTCAGCCCCTCCATCCTCCTGCTCCCCGAAGCTCCCTCTGGGGGCTTCATCCTGGAGGTAGGGTGTTGGGGGTGGGAACCAGGAGGGAGAGAGTGGGAAAGGAAGGCAGGATGGAGTGGGGCCAAGAAAGGACCCAGGAAGCAGTGGCAGCCAGCCCACCCTGGCACGCTCCTTTCCAGTCGCCAGCTGGTCTCTTTTTCCTTTTGGAGTTTCCATCCGCAGTCCCTCATTTGTGGGAGGACCCTCATCTCTGCTCCTTCTGTGTCTTGCCCCCCTCTACATACACACCTCATCTTCAGATCCCTCCTTACCCTTGATTGTTCCATCCTTCCCACCCAGATGCCCTGGACCAATCCTCAACCCATCCAAGGACCCACGTTCCTGGTACCACCTCAGTGTGTGTTCTGCCATATCCTTCCCCTAGCTTTCATCCAGGCCTTCTTTTAGTACCTCCACCCCAGGCCCCTTCCCACCACTCACAGCCCAGTCCCTCACCTGTCTAAGGTCCCTGTATCCTTGGACGCCTCCCCTGCTGCCTCTTCCTCCTCTTCTTCCCTCTCCTCCTTTTCAGACAGATTGTCTAGAATCTCCTGGCTTCCTCTGGGCAGGACTGACTTTACCTCTACACCCAGGGCCATGACACTCAAGACCCCAGCTCCCAGCCCCAGCCCCGAGGGATAGTGTTGTGTCAGGGCCACAGAGAGGGCATGGGGCAGCGTGGCTTGCAGACTGGGATAGTTCCTCCCCACTCTCCCGTGGTGGTCTCTCATCAAGGACCCAGCAGCCTGCTCTTTTGAGGGGCACTGATGATCTCCCAACAGGGCCCTGTCAGAGCTCTTCCAACTGCCCTTGCTCCCCACCAGGCTACGAAAAAAGTGGAACATCGAGGAGCGGCCCAAAATTTGGGATCCAGGGGTCCGAGCTGGGCTTTCCATCCCGAGAGGGAGGCTGACTCAGAGGGAGGGGCAGAAGCAGCCTCCCCAGGACCAACTGCTTAAGAACAGGATGAATTTTCAAATTAAAAGCACCAGTTGGAAACTTCCAGGAGTTCTAGAAGGCAAAGGTCAGGCAAGTGGGAGGTGGGGGGTGTTGGGGGGGGGGAACATGGTGGGGGGATTAATCAGGAGCAGAAAGGGCAGGGGGCCTATAAGGCAGGGGAGGAGGCATAGGGAGCCAGTTTGGGGGTGGTTGGTGAGGAGGCATGTGGGTGGGGAGTGAGAAGAGGCAATCCCACCCTAAGAATGGGGCAAGGGGTCTTGAGGACTTGGCACACCCTCTCTACCTGGCTGGTCCTTCCCCAGGCTGTGGTGGCTTCTGTCCTTGAGAACAATTGCTGGCAGCCAGATACTGTCTGTCCTCCTTTTTCTCGCCCCTCTGAGTACTCAGCTTGCATGTGCCCCAGTGGGAACACAGACCTCACTGTGTTTTCATCTGTTTACCTGCCTATCCCCTGCAGGGTGTATATCTCCAGCGACCACTGAGATGCCTGGTATACCTAGTTGTACGTTCAATCTCAATTTAGTATTATTATTTCCACAGCACCTCCAGACTTGATTATAAACCAAGCTCAGTGATTTTTGCGAGACTTCCTTAAACCAGCTGAGCCTCAGCTGGTTCATCTGTACAGTGGGTGTAGTTGAGGGCACTACTTCCAAAGGTTGAGAAGATTCAATGAGACAATGCTTGCTAAAGTGCATGCATGGCACCGGTGTTGCTTAAGAAACGTTCCATCCTGGCTTTTTTACTGGTATTGACTGATGGGAGGGAGAAAAGAAGGATCAAAGGTGGGAAAAGCAGTAGGGGAGGAGGAGTCACTCGCCCAGCCGCGCTTTGGGTTGGGGGCGGGGGTGAAGGGATGGGGGATGGGGACGGCAAGCCCAGGCTACCCTCAGGCTGGGAGATCGTACATCCGCATCCGGCGGCCAAAGAGCTACTTCCTCTAGAGGGAGCTGATTGGAGCCGGGAGCAGCCAGAACCTCTAGGATCGCTGCTGCCGCTTGGGTCCCGAGGGCCGTTCTGGGATAAGCAGAGGCTGTGTCCAGACACCGGGAATTCACTGACACCTGTTCCTGGAAGCTGGGCCTGGGCGCCTACCCCAGGAGCAGCCCCTCGGGATCTCCAGCCTCGACCCCGCGGAGCCATCCCGGGCCTAGGCTAGGGTCCAGGCAGGTAAGCAGGGAGGGTCCTGCTCATCCTTTCCATTCTTGGCAACCCCAGGTTCAGGGTGGGGCAGGAAGCCCACTGGGAGCCGGCTGGGGAAGGGGAAGCTTACCTGAGCAGCCTCACCAACTCCTGCTGGGGGCCTGATCCAGCCAGGACTCCCTCTGGCTGCCCCTCATGCCCCGGCCCCGGGTACCTGAGAATGGGGTGCCAAAGAACCAAAGCAGCCTGGGGGACAGGAATGGAAGTCAGGGCCCAGGTCAAGGGCTTGGGGAGAACTCTTAACAGCGCTTCCTGCTGCCCCCGGAGCCCTGGACTGGGTCTGCAGCCCGGGCAGGCATTTCCACTGGGGAACATTCTGGGCTCAGGAAGCCCAGTAAGTGGGGTGCAGGAGCCTCCCCTTACCAAGAACTCTTGCCACTTAGATGGGGGCGGGGGTAGGCCCCTGTCGTCAGAGGCCTCTGGTCCTGGCGCTATATTGAGGCTCCAGCCGCTCTCCAGCAGTGAGCCCGAGGGTAACGGGAAAGGAAGGTGCAGGTGCAGTCGGCATCCTCTGGCCCTCTTGTCCTGCGGTGCCAGGTTTTGGGGACCAGGGGAGAGACAAGGGCATCTTCTTCCAGAAAGAGCTACTGACACGAGTGGCAGTGTGCCAGACAGAGGCCTATTTTGAGGAGCGGCCTGGGATGGAGGAGGGAGGGTCTGACTTCTCCTTGCCCCACCCTGAGAAAGGAGGGGTGGAGAGCTGGGTGCACGAGCGGTCCAGCCCTCCCCCACCCGCTCTGGAAGAGCCCTTGGGGCACTTTATAATATGGCCCTGGCCTGAGGGAAAGGGGGTAAGAGAGGGTATCCGGGCCTCACAGGGAGAAGGGGTGGCTCTGTCTGGCCCGGGTGGGGTGTACCCTCCCCAGGAATGGAGCGAGGGGCACTCCTGCCTGAGTGATGGGGCAATGAAGGGGGTGGGAACTGAAAGTGAAACAGCTCACGGCCAGGAACTACTGCCTGTGTCAAGGGTTCACAGAGCGGATCTGGGCTGTGGCCCGGCTGAGCAGGAGAGCGAGTGTGGGGTGAGGGGGTACCTATGGGAGGCAGGTCAAGGGACTGAAGAAGACCTTGATTCTTGGGGGCTTCCTCAGCTGACTGCAAGGCAGGAATGAGAAGGCACAGGCCAGATATAACTAGGGAAAATTGCCCTGGAAAAGACATCCTCTGAGATCTACAAACTGGAAGATGAATCTTAATGAAGTGTCGACTGTATGGACTCGTGGAAATTCAGATAACCACCTTGATTCCCTGGCTAGCTATGTGGCCTTGAGCACTAACCTCTTTGTGCCTCACTTTTCCCACCTGTAAAATGAGTGTGACGATGCTTCCCTTGCTGTGGAAAACAGGTGTGCTCTGGCTAGCCTAGGGGGAGTGGGACCTTTGAAGATGGCCTCCATGGGTCACTGGCTGGAAGGTGGCAAGCTTGTGGTAAACGTGTGCTGCGCGGGGTACAGGAGGCTCCAGGAGAGAGGTGAAACATGACTTGAGAAGCACTAGGGCACTGCTGCAGCAGCCACCCCTCCTGCGGCCCCGGATGCCAGGGTGCTTGTCCCCTGGTGTGAATCTTCGCTGCCTTGCTTTTCTTACCCCTGGGCTCCCCTGAAGAGTTGCCAATAAAATATGAGTGGTTGAAGCTAGGACTGCAGAGTCTTTCTGGGAGTCCAGGCCCCCTCACTCCAGTGTGTCCTTGGAAACCTCTCGTCAGTGGCCCTGCCTGTCCCCAACTCTGCCTTTCCTCATTCATCCCCACAGAGTAACACTGCCTTTCACTGAGACCTGAAAAATGGCCTCGGGGCAAGGACCAGGCCCTCCCAGGCAGGGGTGTGAAGAGCCTGCCCTGTCCCCCACTTCAGGTAAGGGTCTTTCTGGCCCCTCACGCATCCCATGACCACCAGGGCCGTCTCTGGGGACAGAGAGGAGAGAAGTGGACAGGGCCAGGCAGGGCTTATGGGCAGGCTCTCCTGCTTCAGTTTTCCCACCCTTGGATATAGGAGAAAATATCTCCCCACACAATGCAGGGGGCCTTTTGGGCTCAGGCTAGAGTGAAGTCAAGTTTAAGCCCTGGGAACAGGGAGGAGCCTGGGCCTGGGTTGTTGCAGAGGCTGGGCACAGTGCCATCCCAGCACGGGCAGGGGGCGGGATGGGCTGAGGTGAAGGAAGAGAGGGGAGCGGCTGGCCTATCCCTGCAGTAGGAGAAATAAGGAAGTTGTTGGCTTAGCACGGAGTCAGGTCTGCTCAGCAGAGAAAATGATTGTTATGGCCTTAGGGAGGAAGTAAGATGGCTGCCCTTCCTTCTTCCAAGGGGATCATCAGAGAAGCCTGCAGCTTGCAGTCACAGGCTGTTCCCTGGACTTTGGGTTCAGTCCCAGGTCTGTCACTGTTTTCCTATGTAGTTTTTATGGCCCCACATTCCCTAAGTCATATGGCCTGGGTCCCTTGTGCACACTAAACTCGAGGCCCAAATACCTGGCGTTATATCCTGGCTCCACTGCTCATTCTAGCTGTGTGACCTTGTGCAAGTTACACTCCCGCTGCCCCACCCCCATGACTCGGTTCCCCCGTCTGTAATCCTGACTACAGCCTTGTAGTGAGGATTAAATGGGAAGTGCCAAAAAACTAACCTGCAGAGAGTAAGCACTAGGTGTTAAGTAAGGGGCAAGGGAAGCTATGGCCTTGAGGAAGAGTAACTGTCCCCAAACCATGGGGCTACCAGGTCCAGCCCTTCCTCCCTGACTCCCGGCTTTGATCCTCAGAGGAGCAGGTAGCCCGGGACACAGAGGAGGTTTTCCACAGCTACGTTTTTTACCGCCATCAGCAGGAGCAGGAGGCTGATGGGGCAGCTGCCCCTGCTGACCCAGAGATGGTCAACTTGCCCCTGGAACCTGCCAGGTGAGTAGCAGCCCCACAGGGACATCTTCAGGGAGGTGGAGGTTCACATGGGGTCGCCACACCCTGGCCTGGGGGAGAAGGGTCTTGCTCTTTCATTGTTCCTTTTTCATCCCCATGGGAGACCTTGTTCCTTGGCCTGGCCCTTGTATCTGTCAGGGCCTCCAAGGAGGGGGTGCACAAGGCCAAGGGCATCTCGGGCAGAAACCCTAGCTGTGAGTCTGGGCCCTAGGCCTGACCACTGTCCATTGCTCACCTGTTGCCTCCTGCTCCCCCAGCATCATGGGGCAGGTGGGTCGGCAGCTTGCCCTTATCGGAGACGCCATCAACCAGCGCTATGATGAGGAGTTCCAGACCATGTTGCAGCGCCTACAGCCAACTGCAGAGAACGCCTATGAGTATTTCACCAAGATCGCCTCCAGGTAGCCCCAGCCACTGCCACCCTGCTGTGCCGTCGCTGCCATGCTGTGCTCTGCCCAGTGGATGGGAGACACATACTTCTCTGTCAGTGTCAGGAGACATATTTGCTGTCCCCATGTCTACGTAAACTCAAGTGTCTTTGCTTACTGGGTCCCAAACTCATTTCTGGTACATGAGCTCAAAGTCTGTGAGCTCTGGCTCTGAGCACTTGATCATTTAGCTCAGGACTGCAGAAGGGCCCGGGGTAGGGATGTTCCTGAGCCACCCAGCCCAGCTAGCACACAGCTGTCCTTCTGATTTATAAACACATTTCACACCAAAGGTGGTAAGGCTGCCACCTCCTACCAGGTCCCGGAAATGGCTTCCATATGCTATAGCCACAATGGACAGGCAGTCGGATGTGGTGGTTAAACAGACCAAATGCCTGGGTCATAGCTCAGCTTTGCCACTTACTGGCTTTGTGAAACTCTCTAGCCCTCTTTCTCCTCCTCTATAAAATGGGGGAAATATGCTTAGAATGGTGGCCACATGTACAAGGTGTTAGCCATTATTACCATCAGGGTCACGGAGGTCAGTCTCAGGGAAGATTTGAAGCTGAGGGTGAGAGCAAGACTAGGCAGTAGACTTAGGATTAGTGCTCAGAGCTGAAACATCCTGCCCATGTCCTTAGAGGCTACCCTCCACCCCACCGTGATTCCAGGATTTGTCCTAACCTCCTCTTCTGTCCTTTTGTCTCTGCTGCCCCTTGGGCTGCCAGGCCAGCAGCAACGCCCACAGGTAATCTCCCTGCTGCCTCTGTCTGCCCTCTCTGTGCTACACCCTCTCTGGGTCCTCTGCACCCACAGCAGTGGGGCCCCCCGGGTGGCAACAGCCCCTTCCTGTGCCCTCTAAACTTTCGCCTTTCACAGAAGACACAGGCTTTTAAATAGCAGCCAGGCTGGGGCAGTCCCTGCCCCCTTAATTCACACCTAAGCCATTTTGCTTTCCAGCTGGGAGAGGGGTGAGGGGACAAGGGGGTGGGAAAGGGAAAACAGGCTGAAGGGCCCCCTGGGGCTTCCACTGACAGCCTCCATGTTCTGCCTGCAGCCTGTTTGAGAGTGGCATCAACTGGGGCCGAGTGGTGGCTCTCTTGGGCTTTGGCTACCGGCTGGCCCTATATGTCTACCAGCGCGGACTGACCAGCTTCTTGGGCCAGGTGACCCGCTTCGTGGTCGACTTCATGCTGCATCACTGCATTGCCCGGTGGATTGCACAAAGGGGAGGCTGGGTGAGTGCCCGGCACTGGCAACCTCGCCTGTGCTGCTGGAACACCCCACCCCCACTCCAGCCCCTTAGTGCCCGTGTACACTGCCAGCCCCTCTCTGACCACTCTGTCTCTCCTGGCAGGTGGCAGCCCTGGACTTGGGCAATGGCCCTATCCGGAACGTGCTGATCATTCTGGCTGTGGTTCTGTTGGGCCAGTTTGTGGTACGAAGATTCTTCAAGTCATGACCCCAGGAGGGGCTCTTGGGGGTGCCAGCCGAGGACGCTACCTGGACTTCAACCAAGCCTTTTTCTTTTACTGCCTCCTCTGCAGGGGTCTCCCCCTCAAGAGCACAGAAACTTTAGCAAGTGGGCACTCCAGCTTTGAAGTGCCCCTGCTCGGAGGTCAGTCAGGCCTCAGGGGCACCCCAACATTTCATGGTGCTAATGGGCCCCATCTCTGGGCTCAGCTCTGTCTGCTGGGCTTTGGGGAAGTTGATAATTTGGGGAAGCAAGAAGCTGGGAGGCACTTTTCCCTAATAAGTTCTTAATGGTTTTAGCTTTTTATAATACCCTTAGGAGGACATCTTCCCCCACCTCATTCCTATTACTCTGCCCCAAGCCAGGACATCTGGGGTGTTGGGGGTTAGTAGGCCTACCCTGTGTTCCCCAGGATTCAGCTGTTCTGGAAGGTGAGAGCTTTAGAGCTGGGCATAGGGCCCAGTCCTGGCCCTTCCAAAGTATCATGTCCCTCAGGAACAGGACTGGTTGGGGTTGGAGGGGAAGGACCTGCTCAACTGCCCCTTCATCCCATATTGCCTTGGCAGTTGGACTCTCAGGGATTCGGGGTCTGGGGTGTGGAGTGAGGGTGCAGGCTGGAGCAGTCTGAATTTAACCGTCCGGTCCCTCCAGACCTGCCTCCTGAGGTCCTTGGCTTTCTGCCTTCTCATCATTTGCTCCCGATGCCTTCATTACTGGCGGAGCCGGCCCGTCCCATCACTCCACATGGGGAGGGCAGAGGCCTTGGCAGAATGGAGTGCTGAGGACTCCTCCTTGCACAGACTCTAGGGTTTAGGACTGTGGTTTGTTATTGTCAGGGAAAGGGGCTAGGGAGGTCACCTGGAGGTTTCTAAGTGAGAGAAGGGCTATTAACATCACTAGGAACCCCAAAGTTGGAATCCTCCCACATGGGCTAGGCACAGTGTAATCTGGGGGTGTGGAGGGGGAACTGTGAATACTTGACTTCTACCCCCAAGCCCCTGTCCCCTACACCCATGGTCTAAGCCTCTCCCATGGGTGGGGGTGAGAGTACTTTGTCTACCTTGCACAGCCCAGGGATTTAGGAAGAGAAGTTGTTGATAAACCAAATGCAGGGAGCCCACAGGCCACCCCCACCCTCTGAGAGTGTCTGAAAATAAACTGCCATCCCCCCATTCCTACTGGTAATTTTTTTATTCTTGGCTACCCCTCTTTTCATCAGGATGAACAGGGGGAACCTGGGCATGCCTGGCATTCACCTGGTTTATTACTGAATAAGCTCTCATCTTGGGCTTCCCAAATCCTATAGAGGGCTGCTTGCAGTTCTCTAGCCTCCTAGAACGCTTTGGGCCCTCCCCACCTCGAGCCCCTTTTCCAGGTACTTCTCTCATCTCTGAGTTCAAGGCAAGTGTTCTGCCCCTATGAGAGGTTGGGTCCCTGAACCACTGGGCTCTGGTTGCAGAGCTGGTGGAGCAGCTTCACATGTCTGGGGACTCCCACAGGACACCTGGGGCCTGGATTGAATTCCTATCCCTTCCATGATCCACCACCCACGCTTGGCTCTTGCTGTCTGGGACACACTGTCCCAGCTCCTGCTTCCCCATGTTCCCAAGCTAGCACATACACAGCTTTTCATTCTAGCACTTCTGTGCTGCATGGGAGTCCCTATGGGGAGGTAGCCAGGGTTGATAAAAATAACAAGCATGGGGGCGTTTAAATGTTCCCCAATCTTCAGTCTTTACAGCCCTGGGCATTCTAGTCTCTGACACCCTTCCAAAATGGTCACGTGCAAGTCCTAAAGGACTCAGGTGCTTCATTCCCATTCCCGAGGTAGTCTTGCCAACCCCCGGTCCATCCAACTTGACCTTCAAATAGACATACAATCACGGAGAGGGCCCTCCCTTACCCTCTCCTACAGCAATGCAGGCTAAACGGTAATGGCTACAAGGCACCACCACGCAATCTCCTGCAGGAAAAGCTCACAGGCATTTATGAAACACGGTGTATCGGGGCTTCATGCCGAGAATTTATCATCTCCCAGTCAGGTACAGCTAGTGAACTGGGGGGAGGGGATCTCAGGCACCAGGAAACAGGTGCCTGCTCAGCCACTAGGAACTTGCGCTTGTCCCCATTAATACTGCTCTGAGGTTTCACACGGAAACCGGAGGGGTGCGCGCTGGAGCCGCTGGCCTTCGAGCACAGGTCCACCGGTCGGGAGGTGTTTGTCCGTCCGGTCTCCTCTCTGACCCTCCACAAAGCTGCGGCGCCACCTGCAGCCTCTGAACACAGCGAGAGTTCGACAAGCTGCCCGAGTCCAAGATGGTCTCTGCCGCATCGAGCACGCAGGCGTGCCCTCTTGTAGGCGGAGCCTCCAGACGCACCTCCCCGTCCTTCCGCGCAGGGTTTAGAGAACAGTATGAGGGCATTCCTGGATGAGCAGGTGGTTTTGTGCCTGTGAGAAAGCTGGGTGGGCAGTGGCAGGGGCTGTGGACTCCACCTCTGCAAGGAAGGAGTTGAACACTGTCCTAAAAGGCACGGGGAGCCCCAAAAGGTCTGGGCCTGTGTCTAGCCCGACCCCTGTACTCCACCCTTCAGTTCTGCTGCCAGGAGGAAGTTTGCAAAATCCAAATCCAAGCGCCCTAGAGATGCTGAAACCTGGGATCCAGACGTTGGGAGTGACAGAACAAGGTAGAGACTGGGGATACAGGGGAGCAGATGGGTTCCTCGGGTATTAAGGAAGTTAAATTCCCTTCAAAATATCCTTACGTTTTGTGGTTCTGGAATACAGTAGTTTCTTTTCCACCAAAGAGGTCCTCAGTCTGGTGCCACTGCACGGGGGCAGGGCAGCCATGGGACAAGAGCGTGTTCAGATGGCAGCTGCACAGTTGTACAGTGTCAGTATAAACACCTGCCCTGCCCTGTGCCCATTGCCTCTTGCTTCCACCCCGCACTACCTGCCTGCGTTTGCTGTTTTACCTCCTCTGAAGAGGGTTTTACCTCACTGAGTGTCCAACTAAATCCTTTAATTCAAGAAAATCCTATTTTGCCAAAATCACTCAGTAAATTGTTTGAACAAGTCTTTATTACCTATCTGAATAACATTAAAATACATTAAAATTAATTTATTAGGTAATTAAAATTATGAAACCACCATATCATGCTCCAGTTGTACACGCCTCAGATGTAAATGTCCCTGATCAAACACACTTGCAAAGACTATACTTTCAGGGATCATTTGTATAGTTTGTTACTAGAGAAGTTTCTCTGAACGTGTAGAGCACTTGAAACCACGAGGAGAAGGCATAGCCATTCTCTCCTGAGCATGAAGCTGGCTTTTGGTGTTGCTTTTGCAACTGCTAATGGCCATTGATGATAGTTCTTCTCTTCCTTTGGGAGAGTAAGAGAGAGAGGACACAGTCTAAATGGTTTCTTAAAAAAAAAAAAGGGCACATAAAATATGGGTTTTTCAATCTAAGCAGAACAGATGTTTATAATCTCATGTGTGTCTTTTGTGGGTGGGGGAGACAGAGAGAGACAGAAAATAGAGTTAACAGAGATTACTAGAAGTCGGACCAGAAAATCAGCAAAACCCACCTTCTGGCTCATGTTCACCACTCTGGATATGTTAAAAAAAAAAAAAAAGGTGAACATCAGACTACTGGGATATAGAGAATATAGAGGCATTCGGCCTACCAGAAAGTAAGAGGACAAAAAGCAGTGATCTGGCCTATTGAGCACAGGACTGCTCAATTGCCGGAACCAAGTTACCAGCAAATTCTATGAATAATCTTGTAGAGGGCAACCTCACAGGACCGAGGCCAGGTGAAGGACCAACTCTAAAAGTCCACTAATAACTGAAGGGACTAGAGCCACAGAATATCCTTTCACCTGGAGTGTAGGATTTGGCAATGGATTTGGGCAGGCGCATATGGATGCCTGCGAGGGTGTCTGTGTGAGGCATCCAGAGAGTAACACTGAATGGGTATTGATTGTTGAAATCAACATAGAAATGAGTATACCTCTCAGCTCCACTCACCTCAATTCTTCCTTTGCAACCTTGGATCATTCCCAGTGCCCAATTCCTCAACTTTTTGTTGTTGTTAGTGCATAATGTTGTTAATAAATAAGATTTATTGCATCAAGTAATAAATACATACAAAGAAACCAACTGTGTTATCTTCTTTGAAATGTTTGGATCAACTTACAGGAAAAGTGGAACTTAAATCAATATACAGTTTTAGGAAAAATTTCAGGGGTCCTTGTTAGATGAGGTTTGGTAAATTGCTCTTTCTTCTGTATTTATAACTTACGCATTTTTAAAATTGACTCCAAAGCACAAATAGTCATGCAAATGCTTAAGCAAAAAAAGAAGTCACCATGTGGCAAATGGGGACCTGTTACTAGTAAAGTGTGCTGCAATCGGTATGCACTAAAAACCCTTAGTTTTGTATTAGCTTATGAAAAAAGACAAAGGACAATTTGAATAACATAAATGTATTCAAAAGAGAAACACTGGTATCCTGAAGGCAAACTACAGTTTGCTGTGAGATAGGTAACTCTGACATGCATCTTTTAAATCAACGCTTTAAAAAAAACACCCTGGGTAGTTCCTAACTAATATGTAAACCCTAATCACTGTAAAAATCTCTTCTCCATTTTAGGGACTATAATTTCAGGGCTAATGAACCATGGGAGGGGCAAGGGAAGGAGAAACCAAACTGTTACCATTTTGAAAACAAGTTTCATCTGAACATGGGAGATGAACTGTAACTTTGGAAGAAGACAGGAAGCCTTCCAGCTGACAAGGCAGCAAGGACCTGGTGTTCCTTTCTGTTTCAGCCAAGCACTCCCGAAGCAGTCCTCTAGCGTTGATGATTTCTCATTTTAGTCTCCCCATTGGGTGCCTGTGTAAGTGGGTCAGTTGTCTTTCCCCAACTCTTCCATGATGGCCAGCAGCTCTGAGGCACCTGACTGTTCCCAATCACCTTGGTGTAGACTAGAGATGATGGCTCATAGTCACTCAGCAGCTCCAATGCCTCAACTTTTTGTAGCACTGGCTAAGAACACAGCACAAAGACAGTTCTTCAAAACCATCTGCCCCACTGCATCAGGCAGTGTACCTATTTTGCAGGATTTATGGCACAGGCTTTTGTGATGGTTGGCTCCATGGAAGCTGGGCTTACCAACCTTCTCAGGTTTTGACCTGATGCCTCTTTGACCTGACCTCTGACCCAACTGAGAGGAACTCCTGCTTTTTTCCTGCAAATGGTGAGGCTGACAAGAATGGTAACATTTTCTTGCTAAAGGAGGACCACATCAGGGAAAGGCAAGTGCATTTGGCTTGTCCAGCATCTCTGAATTGTGGATGTGAATCAGAGTGCAAAGGAGGCGCTGGGCTGGGCTTGGGGATGTGGTTCCTATGTCTGCTGACAAAGAATGAGGTTTCCAGGAACCTGAATAACACTGCTCCCAAGTTATGTGCGAGAAGGGAGGTATGCAGGCTAGAAGTCAAGTGCTGTCCTGGAGGGAGGGTAGGGAAATGCCTCTGACTGTGATGTGTAACTGTAACAGGGAATATAAGAGATCCCCAAAATGGAAAAGTTCCCCACTAACTCGGCTTGGGAGAGGGAGAATCAGAGGACAGACATGGAGAGGTACTTTGCATATCAATAATAGCTGACTTGCTTCATAGATAGGTTAAGTAGCTGTTGCAGACTCAGAGCCATGGAGATAGGCGTGAACTTCACTCGAGATGTAGCAGGAGGGGCTTGCTGCGCCTGCCAGAGAGGCTTGGAAGTGGTTCCTACGTCACTGGTCCAGGCTTGCCCAGACTAATGGCAGCCAAGAAAGGCAGAAGAGCCCAGAGTACTGGCAGAGGTAGCCGATTGTGGGCGGAGTCAGAAATGGGGTTATGAAGGAGGAGCATGGTGAGGATTTAAACTCAGGTGGGAGACAGCCAAACTCCCTTAGCCTCGCAGGGCCTCTGGACCATGCTGCTTGGGAAGGACAGTAGGAGGGCCATGAGAAGCAACGCGGGTGCACTCGCGCACTTGCGCACGTGCGCTCTCTCTTTCTGCCACCTGGCTTAGAAAAGAAAAGCAGGATGTAGTTTACAGTGAGGAAGGAGGCCAGGCAGCCTGGGGAGCTCCAAAGAACTTCCTTGCAAGATCCTGTCCTGTTACACCTGGATTTTACCTGAATTATTAAGACTTGTGCCTTTCCTGAGTTTCACCATGATCCAGAGTAACACAAGACATGCTTCCCTGGACTGATGAACATGTATCCCAGATCCTGAAGGAAAGCTGCTACGTGAGGATGGTGACTTTGATCCAGAGAGACTGGAGAACTGTTTGCACAGCCGGCTTAAGATAAGGACATGGCATCTGATCCCATGTCTGTCTCTCCAACTGTGCTCTCCTCTAGAGTGCATGGTCTCATACCCAATTCAGAGGCTGGACATAGTGAAACTCAGTAAGCGTTTGTTGAATCTAAGCTTTCTCTCACCTCTAGTCCTTCAAACACGCTGTTCCCTCTGCCTGATATATTCTTCCTTCTTTGTTGTTTGCAGGTTCCTATCAGTTTAAACACTTCCTCGGAAAAGCTTTTTTTTTCCTTTTGGGTGAAGTTAGGTCCACTCCCAAAATGTTCCCAAAATGACTTTGAACATCCTCTAACGTTGCACTTAGTTGTAATTCCTTGTTTAATATTTATATTCATTGCTAGAATATCAACTCCATTAGGGCAGGGGACATGGTTATGTTTACCTTTACATAGCAAAGGACTAATACATTGTACAGTCCCTGGCTACTGAAAAAGTGGTTCATGGACCAGAAGAATTGGCATTCCTTGGAAGCTTGTTAGAAAGGCAGAATCTCAGGCTTTACCCCAGACCTTTGTAATAAGAATCCCAGGTGATTTCTATATGTACACAGTAAGTTTTGAAAAGAAGTGGTTTAATACAAATGCATTCAACAATTATATGGCTAATGAACAGTAAGTGTTAAAGGGAACAGATTGGAACAGATTCAGCCTTCGTTACCCCTGTTGCCTAGCACAAGGCCTAGCACAAAGTAGGTACTCAGAAAATGTCTGAGGAACAAATATTGTCCTCCGTACATATACATTCACTGCATTTTCCTCAACTAGCATATAAGCCACATTTGGGAGTCACTGGTCTTATTCTGGCTTTTTCTCTCATTTCTGTATCTTCTGACTCTGTACTATATGCACAGTAGGTACTCAATAAAGACTTGAAGCAACAAAAACAACAAAAAAAAGATAAGGACATGGGAAAATTTTGGGGTTTCTGGCTAGTAGCATGGTGGGGAGCCTGGGAAGTGCTGGGTCTTGTGGGAAAGGAGGACTCCAAGCTGAGGTGCTCTGAGCCCCTGCAAGACTGGAATGTTGTAAGTAAACAGCTGCTCCTTCTGGCATTAATTGTTGGGTCATTCACCAAGGCAACATGTGGACAGGCCCCAGTCTGCTCGCTTACAGATTTGGCAAGCTCTGTAACATAATGTCATGGACAAGACTGTCTTCACATGACCCTGATTCATTTTGGGTGGCTTGAACATAGGCTAGCCAGGAGTCTCCCCTCTTCCTTCTCTGGATGAGAGGAGCCACACCCAAGCTCAACTTAACTGGGAGACTGGGGGCTATTCCAAGTATTCTATGCCCCCTTCCCTGGCCATCTGGGGAAACAATAATATTCAGAAGCCTGAGGTGTGTGGTGCTGACATCCTCAGACAACTTCTGTAATGGGCTGGAACCCTAAATCCAGACTGTGGTGCCAAGGAGCCTAGAGTTCTTTCATTGTCAAGGCTGCTTTCTCATGCCAGCTCCATACAAAGGTAGAGTAATGGCAGGAAGGTCCTCCTGGGATGCATTCTACAGAACAGGCTCAGCCACCACTGCCCTGGCTCAGGTCCCTTGGGATGAGGAGGAGGGTCAGGGGGCCCTCTTTCAGACCTCTTGTTTTCTCTTTCCCCAGTAAACCTGTAAAGGAAAGACCACTCCTGTTTTCTAGGTACTTACATCAGTACTTCCACTGCTGATGCTTTTTCCCACACCAAGCCATTCTGTGACACCAATTAGGTGTTCTACAATTTAACTCAATTCTGAGTTAAACACCATGTTCCTGCTGATAGAGTCAGATCCTACAGGGTAAAGGCTCAGTCCCACAAGACTACAATTCCCCCTCCCCCAGAATCCCACCCCCAAACTTGTAATCATCAGTTTCAAGTCCTGTGCTTCTAACCTACTGGCTGTAAATCAAAGGCATGCACAACCACCACCTCAGGTTCAATTAATTTGCTATAGCTATGCACAGAACTCGGGAAAAAAGTTTACTCACTAGGTTAACTGGTTTATTACAAAAGATATGAGAGAACCACCAGATGGAGAGATACTTAGAGTGAGGTCTAGAAG